AGAGTTATTCCACGGTATTTTTTTTTGATCTCTCACACATATTTTACTCTTCCTCTTTCTGCTTATAAATAAAAAATATAGATTTCTCTTTCTTCCCTGGTCCTGATTTGGACATCATTACTTCATAGGCTTAGAACATTGACCGATGAGCTTTAAAACACCAAGAATGGGAGAACCTGTTGGGTTCCCCCTCAGGGAAATCACTCACAAAGGGACAAAAAAGGCTTGCAAAATTCAAGGCAGACTTAATGATATTAAGTCCAACGGAAAGCGAAGGACTCCATTTTGTAGAATACCACATTCCCTTGATTTTGCTCGGACCTTCTGGGTATCTGTTGACCAAATTCTCTATTCAACTTTCCAAAATATCTACTATTTGGAAATGAAACTAACATTTTGAACGCTACAGCGTGGCAACCCTTTCTCTAATTTTGATCACCAAGAGAAAAATACTGTGGAATAACCCAACCCACACAACAATTTCTACAAGCTATAAAACCTGACTCTAAATCCATGTGTTGTAAACTTTTGACTGAAAAAGTGACATCAAAGACACAGATCCAGCGTTCACATGGGACTTTGGGATTTTAAAAATATTCAGTCATATATTTTTCTGACAGTATTGAACTGTACCTTAAACAAACCCATACTGTTACACATTACTTTTTTTTTTTAATTTACATGTGAAAATTTCACAAATAATGTATACAAAGGTAGCCATGTTGTAGTTTTGTTGCCATAGCAACAACAACTTAATTATAATTAGTTAACAATGAATCTATCATTGTAAGGAGTTACATACAAAGTTAATTCTTCTGTTTGTTCTTAAACTGTAAACTATACAAACTAATTATGGACTGTATTTTTCTGTTTTCTATATCTTGGCATGCGCTTCAGTGTTGTTGTTTTTAGAAGATAACTAAAAGAGTTGAATACATGTATTTAAAAATCTTAACATTCTCTAACTCTCCTTCAAAAATTAAATCCATTAGTTACTAAAGGTTATATATTTATATATGTATACATGCACATGTTTGTGTGCATATATATATATATACACATATATATATATGAAAGCAATAATAAAATCTGTTAAAACAAACAATAAAATAAATGAAAGTAATGCAACATGAATTAACTTGTTGTAGCCTATTAACAACGTCTTTTAAATTCTATTTACAATTATTTTTAGGCTATCAACTAATAATAGGTATCTTTTCCTTTAAAAAATTACTACAGTCTTAAACATACAATATATTCTAAGGCCTTGATCAGGCAACGTGGTAAAAATAATTTCGGTACATCCTTTCAGGAGGAAGGGGGAATTTAAGACTTTTCCTCATATGTTTCACTTTTTTTTTCAGTTGTAAGTGAAATGTATTACGGATTTTTTTTTTTAAAAAAAAAAAAAGGGGAAGAAACTCCAATTTTTAAAACTTTGTGTATTAATACAGGAGATTGCTCTTGTATTAAGTGATCAACACAGTTGAGATCCCCAGGAGGCCAGCCTGCCTTTTGCCCACTGGTCAGACCTCCAACATTTAACATCTATCACTCTGTTTCTCTAACTATCTAGCACAGGGGTCTCCAAACATGGCAACTTTAAGACTTACAGAATTCTGGGAGTTGAAGTCTACAAGTCTTAAAGTTGCCAAGTTTGGAGACCCCTGATCTAGTGTGTAAAAAGGGTCACTTTGAAAGGCCAGGATTGCATGTCTGCAGTCTTAAAGCTTGAGGATCACACCACAATCCCCACTCTTCACACAGGCTTCTCTGCAAACCCCCTTCAAAAGAGGGCATAAAACCTAATTTCTAAGATTTTTCTTCCCTCCCTAGCAATAACTGGCTTCGATGTACTTTCCCCCAGTGCCTAAGGGATGAAAAAAAACATCATGGCTCAAATATCTCGCTAAAGCAACAGCTGCTTGCTCTCCAAGTAAACAGGGCTGAGAAGTCAGCCTGCCGAGCTACTGGTGGACGAACAGTTTGTCCGCTTTGGAGGAATAAAAAAAGACTTGGGTGGAAGCCAGTTTTATTTTGGAATTTATTTAGGAAATGTATACAGCCTCTCCTCGCTACAGAGACTCTAGGCGGCTTACAAGCAAGGATAGAGACTAGGGTTAAAAAAAAAAATTGCATCTGCCCCTGTTGGAAAACTATCTTGCTCCACATGGCGTTTCAGCAAATTCAGAAATGGAGTTTTCAAGTCCTCTCCTACATGCAGTCCTCGACTTACAATGGCAGCGAACGACTTAGGACCGCTTTTCACACTTATGACCGTTGTAGCATTCCTAGTCACGTGATCAAAATTCAGACGCTGGGCAACTGACTCATAGTTATGACGGTTGCACAGCGTCCCGGGGGTCACGTGACCCCCCTTTTGGATCAATGGAGCAACCAGATTCACTTAACAACCGTGTGACTAACTTAACTGCAGTGATTCACTTAACAACGGTGGCAAGAAAAGTCGTCCAACGGGGCAACGTTCAGTTAACAACTGCCTCGCTTAGGGACCGAAATGTTGGGCCCGACTGAGGTCTTCAAGGACTGCCTGTGTGAGGAAGGGGCGATGCATCGGTGAAAGGGATGGAAAGGAAAATAAACCACGTTTCTAGAGATTTCTTGGCTCACTTATCAAATCTCTTCACTGGCTTTGCCAGGATAAACGGCAGGCTGACTAGCAAGACTGAAAAACAGAAGGTGGGAGGGATCTGGAGCCGTCCTGGCCAGGCCAAGACTCGGGATCTCTTTTGCAAAGAGTGGAAACTGCTTAGCAAGACATTCCCCAAGCGCAGAATGCACAGCGTGACCCTGAAAAACTCTTCAGGGATGGGCTGGCTCCGGGAAGGGGGGGGGGGAAACGGGAGAGAATTTCACACAGTATTGCAAATTACAACACTTTACAAAAAAAAAATCCCTTTATGCTAAACAATTTTTGTAAAAACAAAAAAAAACCCGAACGGGGTTGATTATGAAAAAATAATCTAATCCATCAGAACACTGTACTTTAAGATAAGAATCGTAATTTTACAGATCCACCGACTTCTAAATCCCTCTCTGTTTTTGTGCATGTATGTTCAAGGTTTAGGAACATATGTTCTTTTTTTTTTTATAATAATGGAATGGCTAACAAATTTCCCCCCTCAAAAACGACCAATCAGCTTTTCCGTTTTCCCTCTGCAATGACCCGTTTTATTCAAGTTTCTGCATTTCTTGCATATTATTTGCATAAGGCTGAGAGAAAATGGGCACACGTACACCAATCGATAACCACATGCATACTTTTGAGAGAAAGAACTTTGGATAAATTAAAAAGGAGCAGGCAGGTTTGGATCAACCTGCACCGGCTTGTAAAAAGTCGTTAAAACTCACACAGATTTCAACAACAATCTTTATAGACAACTCTGGAATCAGGTTCACACCTGAATCCGGGTTTGGGAGATTTGATTTAGAGTCACCAAAAGCTCAGCGACTTTGTAGACAGAATGCAGCTCCTCCTAAGGAATTTATAGTCTGCCGACTGTGTTTTCTTTCTTTCTTTCTTGAATAAAGAAGTCATTGCACAACAATCTTTAATAGTGCTACCCTCACAAATGGCATTTCTATTCCCACCTTCAGGTTGAAATTTGGTGAAGTTTCCAAAGCTTCAAGCTTTGCTCTTTTTTCCCCCCTCAAAACTTTTTTTTCTCTTATAAACAAACACTAAATTTGCAAAGTTGATATTAAAAAACAAGAAGAAAAAAATTCTTGTGGCACCTAGAAAAGTTACCCTGACACACCTATCACTGGATTGCCATATAAAGTGTGTGTGTGTGTGTGTGTGTTTATGTGTGTGATGTGCTATGTGTGTGGCCATATAATCAGTTTCAATGTGGTCTATTGCAGGAGTACAACATATGACAGCTAGGAGTCAAGTTTTCCTACTTTTGTTTTTTTTGTGTGTGTTTTTTTGGCTCCTACGTTTTGCACAAAAAAAAAGAAAGAAAGAAAAAGAAAGAAAAAGAAAAGAAATTGCACCCCTGATATTCGGTCTTTCGAACACTTTAAAAGCTGTGAAACTGAATGCTGTGGAAATGTGTTAGGCTTACATTCCGCGCACATCTATGCAAGAATTTTTTTCTCAACATCATTCAGAGAAAAGCGGAGAGAGAGTTACATCAAAGTGACAAGATTACACAAATCTCCATCTACACAGATAGGACTGAAAACAAGATGCTCCACCTCTTTGCTTGAAGACCATAAAGCTAACACCAGCGTGTATTCACAAATGCGTGTGCGTGCGTGCGTGTGTGTGTGTGTGTGCATGTGCATGTGTCTAATCTTTCCAACTAGAGATCAGGGATGTTCTCTGTAGAGGCACTGCCACAGGTTGTGCAAATCCCATATCATCATCATCACCATCACCACCATCTTTTAAATATACAACTATCTGCACCTAAGGAGTAATTCAAATCCTGTTTTTCTCCATTAACACAGTTACAAAGCCAGGAAACAGAAAGTCTGCAACCGGGACTGAAGGACATTCAGACGGGCAAGGACGCCAAATTCAAGGGGCCGGATGAACATTTCGATAAGCCTTCAAAGTAACACCAGAGATCTTAGTTCTCTGGAAGCTTATCTCCACGTTTCCATCAATCAAGGGTGTCATCCGAGATGGGCTGTCCTTGTTTTTGGATTTTACGCAGTTCCAACTTTGGAAAGACATCTCAACTTACACCAGGGGTGTCCAACCGTGGCAACTTTAAGACCTGTGGACTTCAACCACCAGAATTCCCCAGCCTGGGAGTTTGGGAACTCTGGGAATTGAAGTCCACAGGTCTTAAAAGTTGCCAAGGTTGGATATCCCTGATTTACACCCGAAAGTAAAAACGGCCAAAGACTTCATACTTCAGAACTGAGCACCAACCGAGCGAGCTCTGAGTGTAATCCAGAATTACCTCCTAAATTGTAAATCAGTAGCTTACAGACCGGAAAGTGTTAACCTATTTAAAAAATTGAAATTTTTTGGGAAAGCTGTTAGACTTGTTTTGCTTCTCTACATGATTGGAGGCCAGGAAATGCATTATTATATACACAGCTATGTGAAATCACAGCTGCCAGCTCTTTGGCCTTCACACCCATCACCATCTTCCCAAGGAGCTGGGATATCATAATGTACACATGCGGTTCCAAGCAGGGTGGCCTTTTGCTATTGACAGATAGAAATGTGCAGACTTTCCAAGTGCCCTTTAATTAATTAACATTATTATTGGCAAGAGAAGTATAGCTAATGGAGAACTGAGGCATCTGCTTGGTGCTGCTTATCTGATTAAGATATGGGGTTGGGTTATGCATGTTTGAAAGGAGGTTTCTTTCTTTCTTTTTGTTCTGTATATATTACAGATTAACTTTTGGTTTTGAGGGTAAAAAAGCCCCATTTTTTTTTTTAAAAAAGAATCAATCTTCTTCAACATGATTTCTTTAAAACCTGGTCACTAAAGGATTAAGTTGAGGGCCACATACTGCAGAAAATTGTAACTGAAAAGTGATTTATTTTTTTTTGCCAATATTTTCTGTGCTCCAGTGAAAATTCTTCAGCATTGAGTCCCTGGTCCTTTTTACTTTCTGATCTGTTTCTGGACAAGTGTTGTTAGGTTTTTGGTTTTTGTTTTTTTTTTGCATTATTTACAATGTTTAGAAATCAACCTAATCAGAAATGGATCATAAATTATCTGCAACCTGTCTGAATTTCTTCAGATCTTCTGTTGTCTTTTTTTAAAGCAACTCCTTCCTGTTTCCTTTCGTAACCTTTTTAGCATATCGTTTAAAAAAGGGGGAGGGAAAGGGAGAGAAAGGGAAATTGATAATAACTGTCATCTATGAAAAGATATCATGATCATGAAAAAAATGGTGTGGAATATACTTGATAATGATGTACAACTTTTTGTCTCTCCAAATAAAGTCAATATAGACTAGGATGTAAACAAAACATTAAGATAACACTTTGAAAAACAGACAAACATTTATCCATTGACAATAGAACAATTAACCTAGTTAAGTCCACTGTGCAAGAGCACTTTGTCTTGATGGTAGACAGGAAAAAAAACCCACTTTTTGAAAAGTGTGTTAAAGTAAGGTGTTATAAAAGTCTATTTTATAGTTCTCTACTTCTATGTCTCATATAACAGAGTACTGTTTTCTTACTCGTTTCTTTTTATATAGTGCTTTTAAAAAAAAATGTTTTGACATTCCCACAGATCAGTTTTTGGTTAACATGGATGCTGCCGTAGGATTACGGTCGATGCTGGAGAGGAGGAGAAGCGGGGGCAGAAAGCACAGAGAGCCCACTCCAGCTTCCCACCAGGAGAGGAGAGGAAACAAAACGCACAGGGAATTCCGCCATTTTTGCTTCAGGAGGCCAACAGCACGCTGGGAAAAGGGGAGAAAAGAAAAGAGTGACAACGGGGACATTTGGCAAAGGCAAGCAAGCCATGTCAACACAGCTGAAGCGTAACTTACTGTTGTGTTGCTTCTACATCTGTGACACAAACATGCTGCTGTTCAGTTCATCGACTGATAACTGGGAGATCTGCAGTAAAACAAAGAGGCAAGGAAGGGAGTCCCGTTAAAAGAGGCCCACGAGGGTTAATGCTCTCCGCTAAGTTCCAGACCCCTCAGGGATTCTACGGCAAAGCGCAAGGGCCATGCCATTACACCACAGCATCGTTTGTGCAGTGACACCACAATGCCTGTGATGTTGCTCTGACCTCATGGCCCCTTCTTCCTCCGCTCTCCACGATTCACACACAGCCGGCTAGCTTAGATGGTCGGAAAAGAGAGGGCGGGGGGGCTTTTCGGATCACCACACTTGAAGGAAGCATCGCTTGACAGTTGCTGGGCATCATTTTTAATGCGGTGTTTCCCAACTGTATCAGCTTTAAGATGTGGGGACTTTATCTCCCAGAATTCTCCAGCTAGCCATGCTGGCTGGGGGATTCTGGGAGTTGAGGTCTTCACCTCTTAAAGTGGTTGAAGTGGAGAAACCCTGCCCTGGCTATAACATTAATGGTGCAAGTGAGCCATCAAGTAATTTCAGGAATATTAAGTACGAAACCATCATCATCATAGCAGACTGAAACTGGTCCCTCCCCCTGCCCGGGCACTGGGTCCCTCCAGACAGCAACTGATCCCTAGGAAAGATCAGGGAGCTTTGCTCACACCTCCAGGGCACAACCAGGGCTAGAATAGGGGGGGGGGGGCTTCATCTTAAAGTGTAATTTAAATGAGCTGAAAACACACTGGGGAGATTTCACAGATTTATCCTCGTTCCCTTTCACTTCCATGAAAACATTACATCATAGCAACAAGTTTTGGCAGACTGTCAGGAAAGCTGGTTATGGGTTGTGAGCTGATCTTTCCTAATCAATATATTTTGCATGGCCCCAAGTTCAGTGCTTGGCATCTTGTTAATTCTTACAGGATGGTTAGCTTCCCTGGAAGGAGCCCCCCCCCCCCCAATTGTAAGACTGGCACCCCAAGGGCAGAGCAACTGCCCGGGAAAGGCTGCACCAGGGAAGGCGCCCACTGCATTTTTTAAAAGGTACGAGGGGAAGGCTAGGGGAAGAGCGGTCCTCTTTTCTCTGGCGATCCTGGCTTGGACTCCATTCCTTCTGCGGTGGAAGAGAGCCACTTCCAAGGAAGGACGCCAGCTTCATGCGATGAGCTGGCAGAAATCTCTCCTCCTCCTCCTCATTAAACTTGAGCCCCCCTGAACAGCCTGCCAGGTCTGCTTCAAAGTGATGCCACCCACATCCATGAAGAAGGCCTGAGCCCCAGGGCAGATCCACAGCATCTCTGAGGACCCGTCTTCCTTCATGGGATGCAGGCACTGGCCTCTCCTCAAGGGTCATAAAGAGAGGGTGGGGGTGCAGATGGGTTTGGGGAGGTGCCCTTGTGAATGGACACCACCCACCCCCTACACACCAGTTGGCAGAGTTTCCAGACCGGTCCAGCGGCCTCAACGTGAGCATCAGGACGAGCAGCCCGACCGAGCTGGGTTTGGGCAGCACCCTTATTGTCCCCACCTCTACGTGACCCCTGGCAAAAAGCACCGGGCCCCCCTGTGGGCCTGGGCCAGCTCCTGGCCCCTCCGACCCCATGAAAGAAAGCTATTGAAAGGGGGCAAACCTGATTGGCTGTTGCAGTTGCAGCGAAAGGAACGCTGGTGGCGGGTGTAGTTGCTGCAGAAACAGTGGTGGGCGTAGCACCGTGCATCATGGGAACTTTTCGGTAGGGAACCATGGAAGCAACAAAACAGGAGGGTGGAGCGTTTATGGAACGCGGTGGGGGGCGTGTCGGGAGTCACAGCAACAAGCCGTGGTGACGTCATGGAGGGAGACACCAGGATGCGGCATGCAACCACAGAGCAAAGCAAAACAGCATCGGGGAAAGGGGAAGAGAACAAGAAAATAATAAGAGAAAAAAAGGGGAAAAAGCCAATTACAATTATAATTAAGGAAAAAAAACTAAAATATTCTCAACACTCAATAAACATTTATAAGCAGAACAATGATGTATAGAAGACTCGGGGTTGGGTTGGGTTGGGGTGGGGGTCAAATTTTCCAGAGATGGGTGGAAAAGGAACGAATAGCCAAACCACGTTTTCTCGAGGGGGGAGGGGCAATATAAGCGGGTCTGTTGTCTGCAACTAATTAGGAGAAATAGCAATCACAGGCACACAGGACCCCAACCGATCTTGAAAAACAGCAGTGCCCAGTTGACTTGTGAGTAAGGGTCTTCGTGGACCTTGTTTGCCTCTGTGCACCCTCTGGTGGCTCCCTTGGCGTTCTTTCCAGTCACCCCATAAGCCTCAGGGGAAACTTCTGCTGGTTCTGTCACAATGGAGTTGTGGGTGCTGATGCAGCCCAGTTCAGCTGTCCAGATATTTTCCCCTGAGCCCACCCCAATTTCTCCCAGAAGTAGAATACAGGAGAGGGGGAAAACCCCAATGCCTGGAACATCCAACAGCTTTCAAAAATAACAAAACAGGAAGACTAAAAGTGGCCTGTGGATTTTAATGGAACATGGGCATTTGGCCTTTGTTTTTGAGGGTTTTTCAAGGTAAGGCATAAGGAGGGCTGCAATTTGTCAAGACCAAGGAAAGGGGGGTCCTGAGATGCCTGATTAACTGCAAGGGACGAGGGCCCAAACCTTGAGTCTCTCTCTTGCCCACAGGGCGAGGGGTCTGACGGGTGAGGGAGAAGACAAATACTAGGGTTGGTTTTTGGATCCCAGGAAGCCCCTTGCAGAAACGCGAAGCCCTGGCTGACAACTCAAGTAGCACCTTTAAAGGCCCACCTCCTGTCCCAAGGAGCAAACTAGGTAGAAAGATCAGGTTGCCACAGACTTCAGAGCCTAAAAAGGACCTTGGGCGTCCTGGAACCACATCTTCACCAAATTACGTATCCCAGGTTAGGTTGGTGGGACATGAACAGCCCCAAAGCCACCTGGAGCTAGTTTCAGAGTAGTTTAGAGTAGGGCAAGTCACTGCTGGTTCGATCAACTACCATGCCCCTTGTGGTCTGGAGGAAGAAAGCTGCCTTCAGTGACCCAATTTTACATTCTCTGTTGAACTTGTTTGTCAACTTCCACAGCCCGCCTTCTGTTCTCCCTCATCAAGGTTAGTCAAGGGGAAACAAAATATCCTGGGAGGGGGGTTGAAATGTCTGCACTAAAAGCAAACGGACAGACGTGAAGGAAACAGCCGTTGTAATGAATCACGTTCTCCAAAGGATTGCACAGAAGCGTAAGGCTAAGCTTGATTAAAGCTCCTCCTCACAGAACCAGCAGAAATGCTGTAAATTCATCCTTTTACAGGTTGATTCCTCAGGCACCACCACCAAAGGTTTTCCCAGTAAGCCAGTGAAATAAGAGTTAACTTTCAGAGGAGGGGAAATATGTCTGGGAATCCTAAATATCCAAATACTCCCACGGGCAGGGAAATACAAAACAGTCCCTGCTCTTAACCTACCCCCTTGGTCAGCCCAGTTTTCCCTTCTATTTCCTGCTCCTTTCTGGATTAAGGCACAGGATGGCCCTAGTCCAGCCGGAATCACATCGGAGATGACATCACAGCACTACATAGCCCATCAGACTGGGCTACAGGGAGATGTCAGCAAGAGTCCAAGGGCAAGGATCATGGAATGGATTTGATGCCATCGTGCCAGCTAATTTGGTTATCTCAGGAGGAAATTAAGAGCTGAACAAAGGCAAGTAAGGGAGACGAGAAGGGGCCACGGAAACGCTGCCACGGGCACCACTGGAGGAAAACAACCAGGGAGAGGATTGACTTTTTAACGCTCATCTAAGCTCAGCTCCGCTGATTGCACCATCACAGTTGCCACACTACAGAGACCTTTGCACAACCATTTCAGCCTTTACAGGGACAGGGGATTTTCAGCCCGACATATTATGGGACACTGCTAGGCACATATGCACATACACACACCCTTCCCACTCTCCTCCTCCTCCTCCTCCCCTCCCTCCCCACCAGCGACCCCACTGAGCCAAAGGCCTCATTTGTGTTAGGAAAAGGTTGTGGAGAAAAACCTACCAACGTTTGTTGCGGGTGCCATGCACAGCACAGACCCTGCACGTCATGCAGTGAAGCGTGGAAAAGATGAACAGAAGGGACATTCGGTTAGTGAAGCCGTCCGTGGGTTAACAGGCACACATTCTGAGTAACACGACTATTTTACAGGGGGGTGTTCTCTGTGGGGCAGTGCCCACAGCCATGCCCGCACAGAACTCGGATCCGACAGTAATTGAACCGTTTAAACGTGGGCGCTGTGGCCAAAGGGGAAACATATGCTTGGATTTTATGCAGCGGGTTTGTTCAGGGTGAGTTTTGAATCCACTCTCTGAATCCCTGCGTAATTTAGCCCCCTGCTCTCAGGACAGATTTTGCAAACTTATTTTGCCAGTTCTGCAGGAAGCCTGCATGAGAGAGACACGTCCCAAAGGGAGAGAGTGGATGACGGGTGCCCCCTCTGCTTAGCCAGGCTGGCATTATCGGCCCACTGGCCAATGTTTTCTCTTAAACCTCTTGGAAAGTCTTGGCAGGCCGCATGTTAATTTTGTACGCTAGCTGCACAAAACCGGTGGAACACCTGAATATTTGGTGAAGAGCAGAGTTCCCACCTGCAAGGGAGGCCTTCCCTGGGTGGGTGGGAGGGAGGAGCTGCTACCAAAAACTGGCAGGGAGACAGGGAGACAGGCCTGCCTGTGATGGTTATTCACAGCAGGAGAGATCGTTACTCTTTGAAATCCAAGAAAGCATCTAGGTGCGCATTGGAGAAGCTACTTGTAGAAGACCAAGATATTCAAAAGGGAGGCGACATTCCTGGCCACCCACTTCCCAAAGAAATCCATGCTGCTTCCCCACTAATTCAACTGGAAAACTGTCTCAGATCCTCAAACCCCCCCCCCCGACCCTGGGAAGGCAGCGAGCGAGGAAGTCCTGTCCTTCAGCCCTCGGGAGGGGGCCTTTTCTCTCCCCACCCCCTCGCTGGACACCCCCTGGCTCAGGCAGCACCAGCAAACCGAAGGCTCACAGCAGGGAGGGAAGTCATGCACAGCGGCCCTGGGCGACAGCTCAGCAGAGAGCAGGCCCTTTGGAGAGACGGGCTCCCCTCACGCAAGGAGAGCAGAGCCAAGGGGCCGAGCCAAGGCACCTACCTGTGGGGATAAAGGCAGGCTGCTGCAGCTGCATGTTTGCAAGGGCCTGCTGGTAGTGAAAAACGCTTGGGCTGAAGACTGTGGTGGCACCGTTGTTTTTTTCAAGTGCTGGCCTCTTTGGTAAAGGTTGAAGGGCACCAGGTGGCAATGCCTGCAGAAAGGAAGAGCCGTAGCCAGTGGAAAGGGGAGGGGGGGAGGAGGAAAAAAAAGGGAAAACCAGGTTTAGTCAAAGCATGGCTGGACCAGGAGAGGTGGTGTGATCTTCAAATCACCTGCAACTGCTGAGAAACGGGAGCTGGGACAGAATTCACCCCTTGACAGCCGAGGCAGCTGGAAGAAGTGAAACTGTGCCAATCAACGAGCGGGCGAGCAATCATCATCGCCACAAATCCCAGATCGCTTTTAAACCAAATTTAACTGCCACGGCCGAGGACTGAGGTCTTTCAATTCCAAAGAGGTCGGGAAAGGCCGCAGAGGCAGGGGGGATTCACACATCTGGAGGACGTCTGGGCCAAGGAAGGCTCCGTTAAGGGAAAGAAGGAAAAGTCCCAGAACTGAAGAAGCTCTGCTTGTCTTCTCCTCCTCTGGGTTATTTTTTGACAGTTAAGTAACTTTTAAACCCGCTGACATTTTAACTTGTTCTTTACACAAAATTTCAACTATCAAGGATGCTGTTGGAATTCTCAGACTGCAGCGGGTATCAATGTGGTCGGTAACAGTTCAATTTTCAAAGGAAAAAAAGAAGGGAGGGAATTAAAAAAGAAAGGGGGGAGGAATCAAGAACAATTTTCACTTGCCCAGAAGCAGTTGCAGAGGTGTGCAAGCAACAAGCATGAAAGACACACACAGGGAACATTAACAGCTAAAGTCAGAGATACAGCTATTAGCAGGGCAGGATTAGCAGAAGCAGGGGAGGCCCAGGTGTTAATGCCGAGACTGCTGGCTACAGGTGTAAACGTCACCCCACTTCCTGGCCAGCTTCTGGTTTGAGGGCCGATGTGGTGCCGGAGGACACCGGCCCTTCGCCTCTGTTCAATTCTCTTATTTCTTTTATTTAGAGGATTTATACGGCTGCCCACTCACTCTCAGGAACTCTGGGCAGCTTACAAACAATAACACTTCCCTACGTGGTATGTTTGTAAGGTGTAGATGAAGACAAGACACTCTCTCCTCGTAATGAGCCAAGAATGTGTAGAGTGCTCGGTTTGCAGGCATGTCTTCTTCTCACCCTGACACCCAAGTTGTGAATGCATCTGGGGCAGGAACAAAACAGAATTTGGCGTGTGTGTGTGTGCGCGCGCATGCAAGCCACAGCAGTAGCAGCAGCTTCTCTGCCCCACTTGAGTTCCTGAAGAATCACACACTGGTAAGACTTAATTTTCTTCAACAGGAGGAGAGGAAGAAATGGTTTTTATGTTTTGGGGAGGGGCTTTAAAAACTGGCCAAGGGCGGCAGGGGAGTTTGGCTAGGCAAGGGAGAGGGAGCGGAGCAAGAGAGCAGATAAGAGCAGAAGCAAAGCCAGTCAAACATGGCTATCCTGGGCCGAGTGGTTGAGAGAAGACAGGTGCACAAAGAGAAAACATACCCCAAAGGTGAGCTAAGTCTTCGCTTAAGCCAGAAGGAGACTTCTGGCAAATGCTTGTCTAGATGTGAAATCTAGTTGACATCCACTACTCGGGGTATAAGCTAGCTCGGGGTGGGCAACGGCCGCCTGTGGACTTCAACTCCCAGAATTCCTGAGCCAACCATGCTGTAGTCGCCCACCCCTGAGTTAGTTCCTGCTCTATGATTTTTGGGGATCATATTTTTGCCCCAAGGGGTACTCAACACTCTCTTCCCAGGCTGCAAAACTCAAAAGATGCCGAGTCCCTTCACGTTCTGTCGTAAGGCACAGGTGTGGGCCTTTTAGTGGATCTGGCGACAGGATGAATTTGGCCCAAAGGCTCCTTTCATTGGGATTTTCTGCCCCTGGGCTGGCTGGGCAACTTTCTAACCAGCTCATCTTGTCTGGAACACCTGTGGCATCACAAGGTGCTAATCCTCACACCTGTTTCACCATCACACTTAAATGGAGAAGGCGCTCACCTGCCGTGGGGACTTTCACCCAGCCTGTTACTCATTGCCCCCCCTAAACGTGCCTCAAGAATAGAGGTGCATCAGAGGCCCTAAGTAAACATATTTCTTACTGTATGTATGCACATGTTTATTTATTTTCCCTCAACCCCGCTGCATTTAATTCACTTCCAAATTCCTGTTTTTCCCTTGCGCAGGGCTGCTTCTCTTTCTTGAGCAAAAACAGCCAGCATATTACAGGTAGTCCTCAAGTTACGACCACAACTGATCGACTTCTGTTGCTAAGTGAAACATTTGTTAAGTGAGTTTTGCCCCATTTTACGACTTTTCTTGCCACAGCCGTTAACTTAGTCACACGGTTGTTAAGTGAATCTGGATTCCCCGTTGACTTTGCTTGTCAGAAGGTCACAAAAGGGGATCACCATGACCCTGGGACATTGCCACCGTCATAAATACGAGCAGTTGCCAAGCGAGGAGAAAAACGGTCCTAAATCACTTTTTTCAGTGCCGTTGTGACTGTTGTAAGTCAAGGACTATTTATACTGGATTTATTATTTAGGAAAACTGCCCACTTAATTCCTTCCCAATTTAAGGATGTTTACCCCAAAATCACTTGAGGACCTGTGACAGGCAGAAGTCATACATTTTTACAACACCCCCCCACCCCACGCCCACCGGTTCTGCCTGGTCTGTGTTTTTAAGAAAGACCTATTATTTCTGTAAACAAAAAGCAGCCCAACCTATCTTCTTTCTTAGAAAACTGACACCTTGAAAGCTGAGCACGGGGTGCAGAAGCCAGCCCCCCCCCCCGCCCCACCGGGGGAAGACAGGCAAGGAAAAATGACCAATGGAAATGGAGACAAGGGGATGAACTTCAAAAGCTGAAGTGGAAAAGGATTCCCCCCACCCCGTACACAAACTTTGGAAAGGAGTCTGCACATCAGACGAAGGTCACAATCCATTCCCCGGGCACAGATTCTTATCAGCCAGGTGGGTTTAAGAATTTAGGGGGGGAAATGAAGAAAATAATTTGAGTTGGGCTCTCAAAGAGCCAGCTAACTGGGCGCCTTGCCGCAGTTCTGACTCAAACACCGGAGCTTGGGGGGGGGGATGACCGGGACAAGTCCCCATTGGTTACTTGAAGGACCATCTCAACCCACCCGTGCTGGCAGAGGAGGCAGACGGAGGGTGCCCTCAGCCCGATTTTTCCAGCCAGCAGGATCCAGGAGGAGGGCCTTCTCCTCCGTGGCTCCTGCCCTCTGGAACATCTTGCCCCCCCCCACCTGTGATGTGAGGTTGGCCCCAACCCTCCTATCTTTTTGCAAGGACCTAAAGGCCTGGCTCTGCCAGTGGCTTTGGAGCCCCAGTGGGGGAACAGCGCAGTAGGGGTGGTTGATTGAGTAATCACCCCCTTCCTGCCACCTGAAGTGCCTCACAGGGTCCCTCCCGGAGGCATCCTGCACTGTTTGGAAACAGACAGACTGAAAAAAAGCTGCAATCAGAGATCCTGGCAAACATTTTTTGGTAGGAGAGACACCTGCTAGTTCAAAAATGGATTTTCAATTCCAGCAGTGGCACTTCCCCTCCCCCCCCCCCATCTTAGGGGGCTGCAAAAGAGCACAGACCGAAGCATCCAATTGGAAATATGTTTTTCCTCGTGTGACGGGCAGTCTCCAGACACAAAGGAGAGGAAAGAAGAGAGAGAGGGAGGGGGGGGGGAAGGAAAAAAAAAATGAATACTAGGGTATTCCATGCAATCTAAAGGATGGTTACATGCAAAGCTCCAAGTACCAGGTCAAAGTTTCCCTCCAGGGGTCGCTTCTGTGATCGGAGAGCTGGCTGAGTCTTAATTAGCAGGCAGCGAGTACATGGTGGTATTGAGGAAGGGGGGTTGAAGCACAACACAAAAAACAGCAAGCAGAGATGTGTCAAAAAGGAGAGCAACGTTGTGGAGAAGGCAGAGAGAGAGAAAAAAATAAAATAAAATGAATGCATTATCACAGTAAATTTTTTTTTTTTGAAAAAAACACAAAAAAACAAAAAACCAGACAACAATGCATGCACCACAGAGAGGTCTGCAACAGTTAAAATGGACAAAGAATAGCTGGGGGGGGGGGCGGCACCCCTGGAAAAGTGTGAAGCTTGGGCACAAGTCTTTCCGTTCCCGTTTTCACAAATCATGCGGCAGGGGAAAGGCCGGCAGGATCTGACCCTTCGCTCGGGGGAAAATGAAAGCAGCACCACGCCATAAGCTCCGCCCCTTTCGTGGCATGCATGACATCACGGTGTGAGTGGAAAACGAGGGGCGGAGCTTCCGTCCTGATGAAGCTTCCATCACAAATCCTTCTGAACAAGGACCCTCTTTTGCTGAAGGACTCCCAGTACGGATCCCTGGCCTCTACAGCTATTCTGCAAAACAGACCCTGGTTTCTCATCTAATGTCTCTGTAATGTGCAAAAAAATATTTCCATGCTCCCCCACTCCTTTCTTTAAACTAGGGGGGGGGGTCCAACCTTGCCAACTTTTAAGACCAGCTCCCAGAATTCCCCAGCCAGCATAGCTAGCTGGGGAATTCTGAGAGCTGAAGCCCACAGGTCTTAAAGTAGTCAAGGTTGGGCACTCCTGGTTTAAACATGTATTGGATAAAAATCTCCGTTTTTAAAGTGCACACTAGGGAATAAAGACTAGATTGTGTGAAATTGTGCTCCCAATTTGCCTAGCTGCCCTTTGAGGATAGCTTCTGGTTTTTAGGGCTGATTAACCGGGCTGAATTCTTGGTTCTAATTCAGAGAGCCTACTCAGAAGCAAATTCCACTGTTTTCAGCGAGGTTTACTTCTGTGTAAGCAAGCAATTGGAGGCGTGCAACCAAATTGAGTAAATATCTGTGCAAAAAGGGATACACTGGGCGTGTGAAATATTAGTAAGTAGCATAGGTAGCACTTGTCCAGAAATATTTGAAATCTCAAGATTTCTTCCAAATTTAAGAAGGAACCCCCTATTCTCAAAGAATTTTGAGACAACCTGCCAGAATTCTGGATATGTTTCCAGCCACACCCTGCCTTTCTTCAAGATGACTAACAGATTTAGATTTAGATAACCTTTATTGTTATTTTTTTTTACTGTGGGCACAATGGCACACATCAAAAATGAAATTTAGTTGCCCGCTCTCAAGTGAGTCCCAAACACAAGCATGATCCAAGGAAGTGTTCCATCTAAACACTGCTCAGGAAACCAACTTTCCTGGAGTCTTTTCATGCCGGGACTTGGGGAGAGGCGAGACTGAAAGACCCCTGTGCCCACACAAGTCGGTGTGAAGGAGGCCTGCCTCCCGTTCCTTTCAGCTTTGGCTTCCAAATCCCTGATTTACAGAACCCCACTTGCTTACAGCTGCTGAAACAAACCAGAGCTGCCTTTTGAAAATCTGTCGGTGAATGTTTCTTTCTCTGTCTCTGTTTTGCCCATCGATCAATCAACCAGTCAACCAGTTGATCCCTCAGCCCACCAGCCAATTACTGCGCTACCTTAAAAGGCGCAGGAGGGCAGGTTTTGCCATTCATCAGCGCCAGTCGGCAGCTGCAGTTTGAAACTTCTCCCAGAAGTGAAAAGTTTGGAGACTTGGGGAGAGGGTGGGGTGGGGAGCTAGTGAATATTACGAGACAGTTCGGAGGACCCAGCTCTGAAAATAAGCAATCAGTAAAATGTTCTAAGGCTGGGTGGGGTGGGGGAGTTAAATGGCACACTGCTAATAAAGCGTATGCTGACAAGGGACAGCATGAATTCAAGATGAACTGGGGTGAGGTGGGGTGACGAACGTTACAGGTAGCATGTCGGGAATCAGCCCTGATCAACAAAGAACGTGTGAGCCAATTCTTCCAAACACTGATGAGCAGCTTGACCATCAAGGTGTTCTCTTTTAGTGATAAGACCCATCCAAAACCCAGAGTTGATGCTTGGCATCTTAATGTCTATGGAGATTCTCGGTCATCCAGGTCCTGGTTGTCCCAAAGGTGCTTTTTCAAGAGGCAACTGGACTTTCTTGTTTTTCTTTGAAGACATTTTGCTTCTCATCCAAGAAGCTTCTTGGATGACAAACGAAACGTCTTCAACAAAACACAAAGTCCAGCTGCCTCTTGAAAAAGCACCTTTGGGACAATTGGCATCTTAATGTGAAACAGAGCGATAACAGATATGGGTACAATGGCATAAATCGACTTTGTCTGAAACACAAACACACCTTGGGGGGGGGGGTTCTGATACAGAAATGGCAGGATTTGCTCTATGGGTTCTGAAATCTGTGGAGGGTGACTCTATTAAAAAGGGGAAGGGGCACCCCCAAGCCCCCACCCACCCCGTCCCCACTTTGTGGGACAACACAACATTCAGCCAAGTCGTCGCCGGAGGCGGCTCCCTTACCATTGCGGCTGCAGCTGTTTGATTCACCTGGTGCTGAGCTGCCTTGATTTTAGCTTGCAAATGCGCAGGGGGGTGAAAGTACTTGCATTTCTCCCTGGAGCATCGGCCTTTGATGTAATCCATGCACACCGTGACCGTGTTCTCGTTCGTGTCAATCATGGCAATATCGATCGGGTGAGCGTAGCGGCAGTCGTTCTCTCCTCGCGTGCAATTCCCACGCTGAAATTCTCGGCACACCTGGAAAGGCAGAAGTGGGATTCAAACAGGGATGTCCTGCTGGCCCAGATGTAACTCTCAAGACAATCACTCTGCCCAGTTTGTTTAAGAAGGGTGGCCATATCAATTTGCAAGACAGAAAGAGAAACTATAACGCTATGTGGAAACGGCCTTGGGAGACGGGGTAATATCTGGATTAAGAGGCAGCTGGAGCCTGCCCACAGAACAGGAGCATGGCAATCGTCTCAGAAGGGACCCTTCTTAAGTTTTTGGAACTGCAAAGGGCAAGGGGGAAGAAATGTCCTTTCAGATGGCACAATTCTATTAATGTAGCCTTACAATAAAATTATAGTTAATTCTCCCAGGTGTGCTTCTTGTCTGGACTACCTCACTAGGTTGACAGAAACAGAGCAATCTGCACCCAAATTCTCCTATCAATTCCCTATGAAAGACGGCAATGAAATCCAAGCCAACGCAAATACCTCTAATTTATCTGTCCTCATTAGTTTCTGCCCCGCGGAGCCACCTGGTACTGAAACTGCAGGGTTGCTGGACACCAGAACAGGTGTGTTTGTTAAGAGCTCTGCAGGCATCAAGCCCATCCCTGGAGAAACGTGGCTTAAGTAGGGGCTGAATGCCATGGTGGGGCTGGTTGCAAGCGAAGGAGTCACAGGAAATGTTGTCTGTAAGGGAAGAGCAAGCAAAGACAGGCTGTTATCACTGGGCAGATGGCCATCTTTCAATATTCGTCAATGGGCCTCCACCATCCACTCCTTCCCCATTCTTTAGAAGAGCTGACGCACCATGCTGCTTTGAAAAGATACACCCAACACTCAGACACCTACATTTGGGGGGATTTGTTTCCTCCATCGGCTCTTATGGATGCCACATACTGGAAACACACAGTATTCTTGTCTGCGTGGACAAAGCACAGTCCAGAAAATTAACATCTAAACCTACAAAGTCAGAATGTTGGGTCTCTTGAACAAAATCTGCCAAGAGTCTTGTGGTACTCAAAGGACCATCCAATTTATGAGGGCAGAAGCTTTTGTGGACTATATCCCACTTCTTCAACGCGTGGACCATTGTCCTGAAATAACCTGGAGGGGTAGGTGGCGAATGGAGCACAATAACCTTAGATCTCTTCACTAAAGTGCCAATTTTGAGTGCTGATGTTGGGCTCTGGGGAAGGTCAGGGATTCTGACCGACATTCCACCTGCTCCAATGCATTTTCCCACCTTGAAGTCACCGACAATTTTTTGAACTTATGTTGAGGACTCCCTGATAGATGTGATCTGTGCCGTTCAACGGTGTCACCTCGTTCATCTTCATCTTACCTCTAGCCTTTCTATCCCAAGAAGCCCCCAAGCTTGGACCTTACCCAGAGAATTATTCCTGCCACTTACAATCGGCTGCAGCTGGGCTCCAGGGACCATGAACTGCATCTGCTGTGCAAACATGGCAGCGGCTGTCTTTTGCTGGATCAGGTTGTTGCGCCCGTTGATTTCAAGTTGTGTTTTTAAGTGTGGTGGAGGGTGAAGGTATTTGCAGTTTTCTCGAGTGCACCGACCCTGAGGGGTTTGTGGAAAAAAGAAAAGCAGATCTTCAGAAGCAGAATTCCCGGGAGACCAAGATAAAATGGATTATTCAGTGTATCCCACGTTTACTTTGCATTTTATGCAAGATATTAGCACAGAAAATACATGACAGGACACGATGGTTTAAATTTTTTTTAGAATGTAATATATTTAACAAACAAAAATTAAAAACACTCCAACAGGGAGGATGTCATAAAAATGTATAGTAGTAATAAAAATAAACTAAAACTTTTAAGTAGTAATATACAATTTGGGTGTGCTATTCTGTAAAAATAAAATGAGCTTTCTAAGACTACAAACCAACTGAAATAACAACAGACAATCAATCATCTGCCACCCAACATCCTAGACTTAACTATTGCCGATAAGAAAGACCAAGAAGTCTGGATAGTGGATATTGCAGTTCCTGAAGACAGCAGAAGAGAAGAGAGAGAACTGGAGAAAATCACAAAATACAAAGATCTGCAAGCAGAAGTAGAATGTCTGTGGCAAAAGAAAGCAAAGAATACCCACAGGAATAGGCACCCTGGGTGCAATCCCAAAATATCTGGAGCACACTTGAACACCACGCATCGACAAGATCACCACCAATCAATTGCAGAAGGCAGCTTTACAGCTTACATCCTGCAATGCATTCCCCAACCTTTCCGGGTTGGTGGCTGGGGGGGGGGGAGAGGAAGGGGATGGTTTTGTGGGAGGGGTTTCAAATAGGCCACAGACTGGTAATGGGCTGCGGCCTACAGGTTGGGGACCCCTGCTTTAAAACATCCACATCTACCTAGTATCCCAGGGGAAGGACTCAATAGATGGACAAAAATGCCAAATCTAGTCTGAACATCTGGCTGACGGGACAACCAACCATGATAATACTAGCACAGCATGCCTGTCATGAACTTCAACTCCCAGAATTCTCAGCCAGCCATGATGACCACTTATCATCTTCAATTGGTCAAGGTTGAGCTTATGGACACCCTGGCCCTGCACTCAGGTAATAAGGCTTCCCAGCCACGTTTAGAATAAACCCTCTTGGGGGGGGGGGGGAAGGGTTAGATATGTGTGAAAATCCGCTATCAACTTTTCAAGCAACCGAGTTCCTAAGCCAAGATTTTACTGGGAACATCCGTTGTTTTAATTGGCAACTCTGCAGAACATTCAATCAGCTTGGCAGTTCCATGTGGCTGGAGGGGAGAGGGCAGGGTACACCACAGACTGAGGGTGGGGGCTTCCAGAGGGCAGACCCCTTGAATCAGCATGCTGGAATAAAAAATGCCACTCCATCTGCTGACTCAAAGGTGTTAGTAAGTCCTGACTCTAGGAAAAGCATGTATGTGTGTGTGTGTGCGTTGCTTGTGATTTACTTGCCTTTCTTTAACAAAGTTCTTTTTTTTTTTACTAATAGAGAGTATGTGGTCCTACACAAGGGCTGGGAAGATCAAATCCATTCTCGGCCACGCAAGTGCATTCTTTCGCAACCCAGCCTACCTCACAAGGTTGCTCTAGTAGAGAAAAAGTGGAAGAAGGAACATTATATACTGTAAGTCACGAAAGCTCAAGCAGACTTTTCCAAGAGGTTTGGAAGCCATCAGGAAAGAATTCCCATAACTACTGTGTATCAAACATGAGCCTTATTTGTAGTGAAATTAAGGTTTCCCTGAACAATGCAACAAGCTAAATGCTCCTGCCTTTTGGGAGGGCCCCCAGATGGTCTGGCGTCCATCTGACGTTTCTGCTATCAGGCTGGTATCATGGCACAATAGAACGAATAATTCCAAGGGCTCCTTTTCTGGTCAGCTTCGAAAACATGTGGTCTGCTCCTCTTTTAGCACATCCTAAGACATCCATTAAAATAAAGCTGCTTCATCTCCCATTACAAGGGTATCACAGCTCTACAGGTTAATTTCATGCCATTCAGCCAGGGCTGCCTGGCAGAAGACCGCTCAACTGCTGGGGTCTTCATGGGTCTGCCCATGAGCTCATCTTGGCAACAGGGCTGGCCACCTGGGGGGGGGGGTTAGCCTTCCCATTTTAGCCTATAGCTCTGAGTGTTCTTCCCACAAATACGAACTAGGCATTTGCTGTGAACTTTGGTTTACCTCTTGGGGAGCACCGTGTTTGGCTAGAGGTCGACCCCTCTTGTGATGGATGCCTTGAATAGCCAAGGGGATGGCACTTATGTCCCACTCTGGGCCAACGTTGGCTGCAGTGGAGACGTCAGTGTGAGATAAGGCCACACTTTCTGCAAGTCTCCTGCACAGCCCCTCATCTGTAGGAGGAGAAGGAAGGGATGCTCCCCTCCCATCGGCCGGACACTTCCAGGACAAATCTCTTAATCCCATCCTGCAACTCCCCCTGCCTGCCTGATTCTCCCCAAAGGTCATCTGGGGACAGCGCTGCTGCCTCCCTCCCCCAGGTCTGCTATAAGTATCACAAGGGTAGAGCCGCTGCCCACGGCCCCAGGGCAGAGAATGGCCAGAGAATCAATGTGGCCTCTCTGCTTTTATGGTGGCTGCAGAAAGTTCTGGCCCAGGGAAGCTGGCTCTGCTCTGAACTGGAGGCATTCAGCTGCTCCACGCCTGAATGCAACCCATGCCTTTAGCTGCCATCTTGAATTTTTGGATGGATGTGCACACGTACCCATACGTACACCACACAAAACCACCACCCTGAGCCTGTGATAACTAGTGAGTTCAGCTTTTGGAGAAAGTGTCCTATTAATGATCACTGAGCTGAGAGTGATAATGCATCTTTCAAAACAGAGGAAGGACATGCAAAGGGGTGTAACTTAGAGAAAGCCCCCTCCTCGTGCAGCAGAATTGGGGGGTGCTAATTGCTCAGCTCCCGTGGAGCCCCTCAGCTATCAAGAGCCCAGCCAAAATAGACAAACGGAAAGAGAAGGAAAAGCCGTGCAAGGGAGCCCTATTTCGTTTAAGGGACAGGTTGCTGAAATCGTAAGGGCCAATGTGTGTTTGTGTTGTCACATAATTTAGAAAAATCAACTGCTTTAATTAACATAAACAGCTCCTGGACTTAAAAATAACAACCCATCTGAGCTGACAATTTGCTTTCAACGTGGGAAAGAGATCCGCGCCAAGAAATGTACTGCATTTTTTAAATAGCTCCCTCAGATTACAGAAGGAGAGACACAAAGGTGACTCAATCCTTTTATTTTAGCCAGGCCTGCAAGCAGTCTTAGAAGAAATCAGAATGACACGAAAGAGCTAACGGCCTTCCTTCGGGGGAACAAAATTTGTTTCCTTTGGAGGTTTGGGGTAATGGCTATAAACGACTGAATAAATACGATAACAGAACTTCTGGAAGGTTAGTAATTATTTTGGAAATACCATAAAGAATTCTGAATTGCAATACTAATCAAAACAGCCCTCCGCAGCCATGAATTTACAAAATAGAAGAGGGAACAATGGAATTTCCCCAGCCTGAACGTCTAAGAAATGGCTTTCTGTACAAAAATCAGCCAAGGAAACTTTTCTGCAGCAGGGAAGCTAAACTTAAAATTACTTTCTAATCGCGCTGATTCAGCTGGACGGAAGGAAAGGGATAGAGATTAATATGCAAAAACTAACTTGCAAAAAGGGGTTGTCAAGAAGTGGATTGTATGGGGAGATTTAGAGGTAGAATCGGAGAGCTCTCCTAGCAAGGAATTAAATCCTCCAATTTAAAATCTGGTTTATACCTGCGGCAGAAATGAGACTGTAGAAATGAGCCTTGCCAACATGTAGACTGCCTGTATAAATGTTGTTTTTTAAAAAAACAAAAACAAACTTCTGCGCACACAAACCCCATACATGCCCATTCTTTCCTGCAGGAGTTTAAGATCTGAAATTATGCCTTTCATGTCCATCTCCACTGTCCTGTATTGCTTAAGGAGATGGCAAAATGCCCCATTTCCTCTCCAGATGATGCTTTAAGACAGAGGGCTCCTGGCCATCCGTGTCCTCCGAGACTTGCAAACATCACACATTTTCATTTTCTACAGGGCCCACCTGTTTCCAGCACAAAATGCCAAAATCACAGTTCCTATGAGAAGAAGAACAGATGCTCCTTCTCCTAATGTTCTTCTCCTGTCAAATGAAGTCAACATTGGGTAAAAAAAATACCAACTGCCAAACTTTCAGCTCTCAAGGTCAGCAAAAGATTCCTAGGCTGCAAAGCTCAGAGACCATCCCCCAATGCAAGCACAGGTCCATCCTTGCGGACTCAGGACTCCTTGCGGACTCCTGAGTCCGCAAGGAGAAGGGCGGGATATAAATTGAAATAAATAAATAAAATAAATAAAAAACAACTTTTTAATGCAACTCCTTGAAATCATGTCCTATTAAGCCAGGTGAATTAGAAAGGAACGGCCTGGTCTTCCCAAATATTTCCCAAGGTGCTGAATGCCAACAGGGACGATGCCAGCTAGCCCGCTTTGGCTCAGCCTTTGTACCAGGGTGTATGTCTTAGCTGAAGCCTTCCTTCTCTTGCTCCAAATCCAACTGTCTAGCTGAGGCTGCACAAACCCTGGCCAGCAACTCCAGCCACACAAAGGGAGTGTGGCTAATGCCTGGCTAACACACTTGGCCGCTTCCTGCTTTCAAGGCCCTGCAAAGCTCCCCATCTCATTTTCTCTACCCAGCACAAAGAAGCAGATTAAGTGGCAATCACAACTTAACAAGATTAACTGTACAGACACACACAATGCCTGTCAGTCCTTCTATTGGCATGTAAATCGGAAGGATGGCATTGGGATACCCAAAAGATGCGTATCAATCCCTTGTGATATCCTCTGCCACCATTTCATCCCCTTGTTTTCCATCCCGACCCTAATTTCTAGCAAGTCGGTGGAACGTGTGATAAACGAGGAGGAGCTCTATTTCTCAAGAACTCACTAACCTTCCGAGAACAAGCACAAGCAGCCCAGGCTGTAATGTGCTCCCCGTTATTGCCAGGTGGACGCTGTGCCCAAATCTGGCCTGGACAAAGCATGGCAGCCCACCCACCTCTGCCAGCTGCCCACCCTCTTGTGCTGCAAGGAGAAATCAGGCCTGCTCGGGTTTGCTTTATTCACACAGATAAAGGGGATTTCCCTGCACAGTCAACTTTGGACCCTGGGCCCCACCATCTCTCTACGGATAGTCCTCGACTTACGACCACAATTGAGCCCAACATTTATGTCGTTGAGTCATTTGCTAAGCCCAGTTGCGGGAGCCATTTCTAAGCCGGGGCCAGTGGCTTAACCATACCCACGAACCTGGCTGCACCAGGGGATTGTGGAAGCAATTGGATATAAATGCAGGCAAAGACTGGGGCAACGCACAATGGTCACTTGGAGACAACCTCCCCGCAAGCAGAAATATAGCAGGTCAGGGCAAATTGAGATGGAAGCTGAGACCGGTCAGATCCACGTGCTGCACCAAGCCACCGCATAACCTGATGAGCTTTAGCCGAGTATGTTTTGGGAACCCAGCTGTGACCCGCAAGCTGCCATTTTTGGTGCGACCCTAAGAACAGCAGCTGAAGGAGAACCAAGCACGAACCTGACCTAGATCTCTTGTTCCCCACAAGGGCCAAATCGTCTCTCGGCCTTGCAGCTACTCAACTCAAGTTAAAAAACAAACAAACCACACAGTTGGGAATCAACCACCGGACTTCCTTCTCCATGGGTGGTCCCAAGGCAGCTCTTCTCCTTCAAATGCATTTCTCCGGAACTGGTGCGTTTAAGGACAGTTTGGGAATTTTTCCAATTGGAGAAGTCTCTCAGCCGGTCTTTCTTCTAGCAGACCCCAGTGAGTAAGAGCTTGAAGAGTCGTGAGGTGGCCAACGACTGTCCCTTCTCCCCCTGGCCCAACAAATGCCGGGAAAAGGTATTTAGATTAATGATTTTTCCAGCAAAGTGAGAGGGGAAACCCCATTTTGCAAAAAATCACAGCCAGTTAATAAATGGTTGAAAGAAACGTCTCCCATATCTTCTAGCCTGTAAATTCCCTAATTTTATTGCTGGCCACGGAGGCGGAGGACAGATAAGGCTGCTGCAGATACTTGGGCCAAATGAGAGCAACTGCAGGGCCCACTGGCACTCTTTTTCCCTTCCAATGGCCCGGGTGCGAGCTGCTCCCGCCATGCAGGGTGGTCCACGGGAACCAATCAGCAAAAAAGTGCCACTCGCTTCCTACGTGCAAACCATGAAGATGCTGCATGAAATTATCGAGAGCTTCTGAAATATTTATGTGGCTTCAAGCCCAGTGCTATGGCAGTTTTTCTGCTCTTCAGCTTGCAAGGTTATCTACGTAACACCCTTCCAGCAGAAAGAGCTGCAGAAGAGAGAAATATGTAGGATTGGAAAGAACGGATCGCCACGGAATATTAAAACAAAGCTCCACTCCCCGAGACTAGAGGAATAGGAGGTCCTTCCAAGGAAGTTTCCCTAGAATGTACCAACATAGCAATCAGATCCTTTCTACCTACCTTCCTGGAATAGATCACCCAAGTGGGTAGACGTAGCTACCTAGTTAAGCGATTATGATAATGGTAACAAATATTGGCAGGAGCGTCTACAGGGCCTGTTCAAAGAAATCAAGATGGCAGCCTCAATAGCATGATCCAAGCTTCCATTCTCATGGACATATCTTGACTTTTCTGATCATACCACCAGGACAAGCCTGACTACTGAGGTTTCTAATGTGGATGGCTTTCCTGTATCGAGTTCCCTAAGAGGAACCTTGCAGGCAAAATCAAAGGTCCATCTAAACTAGCATCCTAATTCCAGCACCATGCATGAGACGAGACTTCCTGTTTAGTGATTGTAGTAGTGTCCCATCTCTGAACAGAGACATTCCGACCTTACAGCTGTTGTGAGCACCAGCTTCCTTCCTCAAGATAAGACTATCTTGGATAAAACCCCAGGCCACCATCTTGTTCCCCAGATGCCAAGGAGACTAACAGAAATAGGAATTGTACCCACCTGTTTGGTGGGAGAAAGGAAAAATATCAACAAATACTTGCTTGAGGCAGAGAGGGGAAAACAAAAAAGCAACTAAGAACCATCAAAATAAGTCAGCCATAATTTAGATAAGGGCATCTCCATTTTTTTTAAAGAAGAAAAAGAAGAAGAAGAAGAAGAAGAAGAAGAAGAAGAAGAAGAAGAAGAAGAAGAAGAAGAAGAAGAAGAAGAAGAAGAAGAAGAAGAAGGAGGAGGAGGAGGAGGAGGAGGAGGAGGAGGAGGAGGAGAAGAAGAAGAAGAAGAAGAAGAAGAAGAAGAAGAAGAAGAAGAAGAAGAAGAAGAAGAAGAAGAAGAAGAAGAAGAAGAAGAAGAAGAAGAAGAAGAAGAAGAAGAAGAAGAAGAAGAAGAAGAAGAAGAAGAAGAAGAAGAAGAAGAAAGAATGAATTTCAGGAATCAGAGAGTTTAGCAGGAAGGACTGCCTTCTTTTGTAATTATTGTCACAGCTTGCTCCCACAGAAGTCTCCAGCATTTCTCTGCAATTCCTTGCCTGCATTTTTAAGGATTACTGTCGGTTCAATTACCTTAATTGCATGGCTGGGCTCCATGTAACATGATCTGCAAAGAGATGGCTGGTTACAACATCCTAATTGCCACGACTTTTTCCCTGATACACAGATTCATCTTCCTTTTTCTCATTAGCCGAAAATGCAATGAGTTTTTTCATCAATAAAGGGAAGAGATGTGCTCTACACCAAGTTGTAAGTATAAATCCAGTTTATCCCCAGAAGTGAGTGAGAGAGAGCTAGCAGGCAAAGCAACTCCAAATCTAACAGGAGACAAAGGAAAATCCCTGCTGTCTTCTTGGAGGTGAACTGGACCAGTTCTGCTTTGTGAGCTGAGCTAATTTGTTTTCACATCCAAAACCCAACATGTTCAGCTCTTTAAAAAAAAAAAAAAAAAAAACCCACCCTAGTTCAGTCATGGTGTTGGCTGCATCTCAAATACAGAAATCAAACTGATTTGCCACACGAAATATGCAACTACTGAACAAAGTCACAGAAAAGCAATGTAAACACGTTAGTCTTGAAATCCAAAGTATTTGTGTGGTTGCTGAAGCTCACAGCTTTCAAGGACAGAGCAGTACAAAAGAAAACGGGGGAAAATATATTCAGAAACCCTTAAGCACCAACAGGTTGACCCACCCAATGTTGCTCAAGGATTGGGGAACCAGCTATGAAATGCCCACCTGAGAAAGCAAAGGACTGGTCTTTCCAACTCCTCCGCTTTCCAAATACATCACAACAGACACAAGACGAATTAACAGTCACCTCATCCCAGAGAGGAAACCTCTCTTACACTAATTAATGCCCACATCTATTGGGGAGTTTTTTTTTCCCCCTATAAAGGCCCAGGATGAAGCTTTAGATCAGGGGTAGTCAACCTTGGCTCTTTTATGACTCGTGGACTTCAACTCCTAGAATTCCTGAGCCAGCTGTGCTGGCTCAGGAATTCTGGGAGTTGAAGTCCACGAGTCATAAAAGAGCCAAGGTTGACTACCCCTGCTTTAGATCAACATGCCCCTGCATCTTAACGCCTGATAAGGTTCTTGGGCAGTTAAGTCAGGAAACCTCTGACACTCCTTGGAACAATGGAGAGCAAAAATTAAGCGAAGCCGTGAAACCGCAACTGGTCTTACAATCTGACTTCAACTCTCCTCTGTTTTATAGGCCAGCGAAGGTTGTAAATGCAAGGATGGGTAGTAAAGTTGTTTTTTCATCACCGCTGTGAATGATGGCTAAATGAGGCAGTCGCTAAAAGAGGATCACCTTCATTCTGTTTCTCCAGTAAATGAACTCTCTTTTGGACTAGGGGAGTCAAGAAGCCATTTTACACAAATCAACAGCATGACCCCCCACCCCCCTTTTACATTCTTGGATGAAGGACATGTTCAATGAAGCTAGCCTAGAAAGTCAGCAGGCCATTTCTGGAGTTATCAACTTAAAGCTCCATTTTTTCTGCGGTTCCCAGATATTTTTTTAGGAGGATTGGGATGAAGTACAAGGGGGAGAAGCTGCGTTTCCAGCTAAAATTGGCTGTACCAAGTAACAAGGTGAAAGAACATGTAGGCCGATGGCAAAGGCAACTGTCACTCATAAAATAGCTGGGACGAAAATTCCTTCTCCACCGAGTATTCTACTCTAGCTTCCCTTTCTGCAAAGTAAGGCTATGGCCGGTATTCCAAGGTCCTTGCAGCCCCCTTTCTGCGGTTTGGGACCTGTATTATTGTTGTTGTTATTTGGCTGAAGAGAACAAACCTCCAGCCCATTTCCTTCCTTTCCAGATGCAATTGTGGGCTTGCTTCAATCTTTTCAGCCCAGACATTTTACTCCCCTACTCACCAGGATCGGTGGGGAGCAGTCTGTTGCTAAAATACAAGGGGTGCATGGCTTCATTTTGAAAAGAGATGCTTTTCTTTTTTTTAAGCAACAGTCAGCTGGACAATTCAAGGGCATTTAGGAGGACCCCTTTTGCTAAAACAGTATTTGCTATTTTCATGCCCACTTTGTGACAGCCTGTAGTACATGCCTGCCCCTAGAACTCACCATCTCCTGGTGACTGGCCCAAAATCACCTGGCCAGCTTTCATGCCTAGAACTCCCAGTCTCCTGGAGATTGGCCCAGAGTCACCCAGATGGCTTTCGTGGCTAAGATGGGACTAGAACTCAAGTTTCCTGCTTTCTAGCCTGGTGCTTAACCACTAGACCAAACTGGTTCTGTACAGACCCTATATATTTGCACTGGCTGCCCTCCAAGGCCTTTGGTCCTTCCTCGTCCTTGTTGAGAATAAAAATTGAGCCAGGGATCTGAGCAGATACACAACCCGCATTGTTCACCTCTGAGCTCCCAAACTTGGGGAAAGAGCTGATTGCACACCAGGAAAGCTATTTAAAACAAACAAACAAACAAACAAAAAACCACCTTTCCGGTTTCCAAAGCACTTCAGCGAAACAGGTGCGTTAGCCCATCCTTACCTTCAGGGAATCAAAGCAGGCGATAACACGTCCGTTTTCCACATGGCAGCTCCGGGAAGGGTGGGCAAACTTGCACTCTGTGTCAGAACGAGAGCAGGTTCCTCGCTGGAATTCCCGACAGACTTCCAGCGTCAGCCATTTTGTGTCACGAACCAAGGAAACGTTCAGAGCCATATTTAAAAAACCGCCTCCAAAAGGGGGTAAAAGAGGGAGGAAAAGGGGAACACAATGTTCTTCGGGTGAATACTAATGATTTCTTTTGAAGAAAGGGAAAATGTGTGTGTGGGGGGGGAGGGGATTTCTTTATCAAAAGGAAATTCAAGTTAAAAATGTGAAGAAATAACTTGTTGCTTTGGTAAAATTTCTATTCGTCAGCACTTAGGTTTCATCGAACTCAAATTATGCTTGTCGAAAAGAAAAGGTTAAACTTTTAGCCAATCATAAAATAGAAATCTCATCAGAATTAACTAAAAAATCAAATTAGAGGCCAGCTCCTGAAAGTGCAATTGTCAAAGTTAAAATAGAAATGTTATATATTTATATATGTTTTATATATATGTATATATGTATATATATATATATATATATATTTATGTGTATATATATATATATGTAATGTTTGTGCCACTGCCAAAACTATTTCAAAACAACTCGCATTCCTCTAGTCCTCCGTCCTCACAGGTCTCTGTGCTCTCAAGTTACGGGTTTCAACTATCCTCACACAAAACCAAATCAGTCCGAGAAAATACAGCTGCGACGGTCAGACTGAGCGGAATGGTTTTGCTTCTTGGCAGAAAAGAAACCTTCAGCAAGTCTCTATCCTTTCATCCTGTGCCTGAAACATTTACAAAAGCTGCAAGCGTTAATACCGGTGGAAGAAATGTTTCTTTTTTTTTTTTAATTCCCTTCGGTTTGTTTTGTGTTTGTCTTCCTTCTTTTCTTTTCTGTATAGAATCGAGTTTGTTACGTAGTCGGGAAGGAGGGGGCACAAAGATGACTGAGCAAACCAAATGGGAAAAGGTGAGGGAAAAGAAAAGTGGTGGCGGCTGAACTGCTGGCCGAGATGCCCCACGCACACCGAGCAGCAGCGACGGGGAGGGGGCTTCTTTCCAAAGAAGGGGACAGGCGGAAGGGGGTGGTGGGTGCTCTCGATTCCCCTTCGGAGTGCAGGTGAGGGAAAGCCCAAGTCGGGGGTCGAAGCAGCTGTAGCGATGCCAGTTTCAAGGAAGGCACTTTTCAGCAACCTGCAGGGAAAAGGAGAAGAAACACCAGCTCAGCCAGGAGGGAGCCTCACGCACCCAGATCTCACCCGGAGAAGCCCCTGGGCCAGCCCCTCCATCTCGGCCAGGGCAGGGAACTGAAGTCGGCCATTGTCTGGTTATCGGTCTTATTTATTTTTTTTTTAATTGCAAAAAAGGAGAGAGAGGGAGAGAGAGAGAAAGAAGGGCATTTCCTACCAGAAGCTGCACATGGTAAGAGGAAGCAGCCAATTACAGTTCTCCTTGCAACCTAATATCTGGGCAGACGCCCAATAGAGGACCTTGTTCCATATTTATCTCATCCTGGCACACATTGGCTCGCGTTTCCCCAGCTGGTTCGTGCTTGCCTCCCCCTCCCTCCCTCCGTCCTCTGTGCCACTGTATGCAAAAGGCCTCCGACGCCAGCAGACCCAGTGGACAGTTCCCTCCCCAGGCACCCGCAAGCAGCCTCCAGACTGCCCGGTCCCCATCCAGATACGCTCCTGGCACACGGAAGGGGTGCCATCCCCAGGGCTTCTCCTGGGCCCTGCAGACACGCTGGGAACAGCTCCCGTTTCCTGACACCTCCCCTCCCCGTCGCCCATCGCATCCAACCCCATAATCCAGGCTTGGGGGGGGGGGCGGCGGAGGGAGAAGAATGGTCGCAGATTGGTGCTAGACAAAAAAAAAAAAAAATCTGGGTGGGGAAGCCGTGATGCCACCAAAGACAAAGGAAAAAGCAACTGCCCTTCTCGGTGAAGAGAAGCTGCTGCAACCTTGTCTGTTGACGGAGGGCCCGGGCATGAAAAAGGCACAGGGAGGGAGCTTCTGATAACCATTATGCCAGCCGTCCCCTATTTCACATTTAACACCTTCCCGCTGAAGCAGAAGCTAAATTTCAGGAGAAGTAACAAGGTCCATCCTTCATCAAATGGCATTCCCACCCCACCCCCGCCTGCCACTTTCCTGGAAAAATCAGCATTAATGGCAGGCTGAAATTTCAGCCCTGTCCAGGAGGGAGAGGGAACTGTTTCTTTTCTTCTCGAAAAATTAACTCTTGCAACAGCTGGATTTTGCAGCAGCCATCTCACCCGCAGTTGTATTTTTGGGCTATACAACGTGAGTTCAGGTTCTTCTCTCAATGCAACATACACAACTTTGGAGGGGGGGGGGAGAAACAGTGCTGTTTTTAAAGAGGGAGGCTGCTGTCGGTAATTCTTCTCCCCGACTGCCAGCAGAGGACTTCAGAAAAGCTTGTGTGAACTATCCCAATCTACTTCCCAAACATGAATCGCATCCGGATGTGCCCAACTCGCAGGTATGGCTACCTTGGCTGGACGCGAGTCCACCTGTACCCACTACTCTTCCTTGTCAAATGTCTCTAGGAAGCCCATCAGCAAAACCAGCAAGATTAGCCCTTCTCTCTTTCATTCTCAGCATCTGGCGCTCAACAGCAACCTGACCTGGTTCCAAATCATGACCCAGCACAACTTAACAGGAGTCTGGTGGACATGGCCAGAGGTGACACTTGGTTTCGGGGTGACTTTCCCCTCCCCTTGGAGTGAGGAAACCATTGACACAGTCCACCCTTGGGGTCTTTTGGAGCCATTTCCAGAAGCTTGAGATGTTTACATCGTTGGGCAAGCAGAGAACATTGACATGACTACGCCGAGAGTCCTATTCAATGCTCTGGAGCCCCAGTTTCGCCCAGATCCTTCGGGGACCTCAGCACAGTGAGAAGCCAAAAGACAACTGGACTACAGGAGGCAAGTTCAGTATGGTGCCAGTCAGATGCCCATTAGTGCCGACAGCCATGCCTGCAAAGACAGCTTGAGACCCCACTGCCTCCTCAAGTACTCCACCACCACCCCAGTTGCCAACTGGTCAAAGACTTGTTATCTGTTCTCCACCATCACCATTTATGTCGACCTTCCCACAAACTTGCTGTGATCGATTGTGAGAATCTTTGAAGACAAAATGGCCGATGTGACCAGAGGAAGCAACCCATCAGGATTCGGACCAAATGCAGTGATATCCCCAGCCTTAAAGAAGGTAATCACCTTCCGAAAAAAATCCTCACTGGATCCAGAGGAACTGCACCAATTACTGCCCAATCCTAAACACTCCATTTTGGGATGGTGGGGGAGAGAAGGTGAGTCTATGCAGCTGAAAATGTTCTTGAGCACATGGTTATCCTGGCCCTTTTCGATCGCGGTTCAGGAATGGTTTGGAGAGACATTCAGGCATAGTCAACCTGATGGATGCTCTCTTGTGGGAGAGGGACATTAAAGCACAATTCATCACCTGGAAGGTTCTGGCACTACTTCTTTCCATCCAGGACATGAGGAGAGGGGTGGAGAGTTGGGAAAAAAGCGGGCGCAGCTCTGCAAACAAGCCACAACAGGCTGCTGTATGGGTTGGAATGAGGTGGAATTCTTCTAGGAATCACACCCATTTAAAGCAAAGCAAGAACTGGGCAGCTTTTTACTGAGCGAAGACTTCTCGGCTGAATCAGGATCCATGGTTGACGGTCCTCTCCCAGCCTTCTACAAGTCACCGGGCCCTTTTAGGATTCCCAGTTAGCGACTTTAGCTCAGGATGATGGATGCTGTCCCTTCAATTCATCCAGGGGACCCCAAGCGAAGGGCTTTAGCTCTAGATGGCTGGCTGCTAAAATATTTAAGAAACCCATTGGGCAGTAACTGCCTAAACCTGGCCTGGTTTCTCTCTGATTGCCTGCGGAACATCTTTGCTTTTAAGATGACATTTGGCCTGTTCAATTCCCCAGCCTTTGTGCTGCTGGAGGCTGATACCTGGGCAGTCATAAAATGGGGCAAAAATTCACTTAATAAATATCTCACTTAGCAACAGAAACATTGGATTCAATTATGGTTGTTAAGTCGAGGACTCCCTGTACAACAACTGAGCTTTAGGTCTGAATCTGTCTGTTTCTCAGTCTGGGCTACCTTATCTGGCTGACACCAATGTTGAAAGATGTGCTTCCTTTCCCTTATTAAGATAAAAATGTGAATTAGCAGGAGGGCTGTCTGGTTTATTTTCATAAATCACTTTTCTGGCTGGGCTCAAGACACGTTTACTTGACTGTTGCCTTGGTAGCAGATCTTCTGTCCTTCAAGGCCATCTCTGCATTCCCTGCCTACTCCAACCGACCTCACAGGACTGCAGGGGAGGGGAAGGTCCAAGTCGCATCCCTTGCGTGCACCATTCAGGAGTCAATGAAGGAAGGGTAATTTAAAAAGTTAACTGAACAATGAATGCATTGTGCCAAGTTAACCTTTCTTTCCCGTTCTGTCTCAGATTAACCTCCTACGTTCTGAGGAATCTCCACGGATGGTGCAGTTTGGGGCAAATCTAAGCCGCTGGCATGCAGGGTAGCGGAGAGGCTGAGTTAGTGTGCTCAGCAACAGAGGGGCAAACGGAGAGATCACGTAGAAGCATCTGGAGATAACAGCCGTCTTTCCTCTCCTCATTGCTAGAAAACACATTCCTACTTAAAACCGAAGGAGCTACTCCACTAACACAAGTACTTCACAAGGCAGCTAGACACTTCAAATACTTCTCCGTGAACATTTTGTTCACCAACGTTTCCCCTCTCCGAGGAACTTTACTTAATTTAAAAGGTAAAGTTGGGCAACCTATAAAAATGAAGAGCCCCCCCCCCCCGATTGTTTAACCTGCCCCTGCCCCAAAGATGTACCTATGTGCCTGAAAGGAGGGCTCAGAGAAGGCGGCCAAAGGAGGTCAAAGGCACCAACCGCCTCACTCACAGCCATTCATGCCTTAAGCCACGCCCAGTTTGGATTACTGCAATGCACTTTCCATGGAGCTGCCCTTGAAGACCACTCAGAAGTTACAACTGGTCCAGAATGCAGCAGTTTTATTGTTTTAGGGTTGTTTTATACAGATGGTCAATAGTTCATTTAGTGATCATTCGAAATTACAACAGCACTGAAAAAA